ATGTCTTTATTTAGCCTTGCTTTTGAACAATAATTTTGATGGACAGAAGATTCTCGATTGACAGTTTTTTACTTTCGGCACTTAGAATATGTGGTCCCACTGCCTTCTAGCCTCTATTGTTATTGATGAGAAGTCAATCGTTATTCTAACTGAGGTTCCCTTGTACATAATAAGTCGTTTTCTTTTGTAGCTTTCAAGATTTTCTCTTTGTCCTTGTCTTTCAACATGTTGACTATGATTTTAACTATGATGTTTCTGGCTATGATTCCTGTGTATTTACACTGCTTGGAGTTCATTAAGGTTCTTAGGTATATAGATGGTTTTTCATCAAATTTGGAAAGTTTTCAGCCATTGTTTCTTTGACTATTTTTTCTATCCCTTTCTCTTTCTGAAGCTCCCATTACACATATGGGACATACTTAATGGTGTCCCATATTTCTCTGAGGTTCTGTTCATTTATTTTCATTCTTTTTTCTCTTTGTTCTAGAGACTGTTTTATCTCTATCAATCTGTCATTATGTTAACTGATTCTTCTCTGCCAGCTCAAGTCTACTGTTGAGCCATGTTAGTGAATTTTTCATTTTGGTTATTATACTTTTCAACTCCAGAATTTCCATTTGTTTTTTTTAGTAATTTCTATCTCTGTATTGATATTCTTTATTTGATGGGACATTGTCATCATACCTTCCTTTAATTCATTAAGCATTATTTCCTTTAGTTCTTTACACAGATTTATAAGATATGCTTTGAAGTTTTTACTAAGTCCACCATATGGGCTCATTCAAAAGCAATTTCCATTGCCTGCTTTTCCCCCTATGTATGGTTCACACTTTACTGTTTCTTTTAACATCTCATAATTTTTTTGAAAACTGGATTTTTTAAGTAATATATTGAAGCAACTCTAGCTACTAACCCACCGTCACTACCAGGATTATTGTTATTATTTGCTTGATTAGTTGTTTGTTTGCTTAGTGACTGGCTGAACTAATTCTGCAAAGTCATTTCCCCTGTAATGTTCAGCCTCTGATGTTCTTGCTCAGATTTTTACCCTTGTTGTTTATCTTCTGGCCTGGCTATGTCAGGGTCACTCCTGGGTTAGTATGAATCATTTATTGATTGAAGGTTATGCTTAAACCACCTTGGTCAGTTAGATTTTTACTCTTTACCATTGGATGTGTGACTTGGAGGTTGAGATCATAGTTCAGGGTGTTCACATTCAGCCAAGAATTACTAGTTTGGATTTCTTGCTCTGATCACTGCTGAGAGGGCACAGTCTGGGCATGCATACAGTCTTCTAGATGGCTAGAGATGACTGTACTATTTCTAAGCCTGATTCCTAGGAGTTGTCACTGTGTCAAAGTAGCTTGTTTACTCAGTCTTTGGTCAGAGGCTATGCTTAAGTCCCTGTACCAATGAGGTTCCACCCTGTATTGATGGGTTTGTGTGCACCTTTTGGGATGTTTTTGAGTTTTCCCCATGTCTTGCTCTGATTGCCCCTGAATGAGTGCAGCCTAGTAAATGCACACAGCCTTGCCGACCTCCAGAATTATCTGTAACATCAGCAAGGCTCTTCCTGGCTGTTGCTTTCTCTGATTTGCTTTATTAAATTTCTGGCTGCTCTGCTGTTTTGTTTCTATCATAGCTACCAGCCTCTTAATTGCTATACACAAAGATCTTATTGCTTTCTATAACACCCTTGGGTATAGAGTTCTCTACTTTGTTCAAAATAGTCAGTTCCCTCAAGCAGAGTTGTAGCTCTTTGTCCTTATGACTTATTACTTTTCCTCTTGGATGGAACCACTGTACCACAAGAGCTGGAGGTGAGAACCCACTTTTTCTGGAGTAACACTCCTGCTCTACTAGTGGGCACTGAGGGGAGGTGCCAGTGCCTGGTCTTCTTAGCTTGCCCCTCTCGGCATAGAACCTCCACTGTATGAGCCAGCTGGGGTGGGGGAGATTGGGGTCCCAGTATTCTCCGCCTAAGTGCCTAGGTTAGAGCTTCCACCCTACAAGTAGGGGCTTGGTGGGGAAAGCGAGACCTGGTCCAGCTTCTGCAATACAGGGCTGCAGAAGAATGAGAAACAGCAGCAACTCGCCCCTCATGGGATGAAGCCATAGCCCCAGACTGGGGTATGGGGGAAAGAGAGCTCTCATCTTCTTGGCCACCCATTCAGGTAGAGCTTCTCTAAAATGGAGTTGGAGGATGGGGAACAGAGGTGGTCATGGCTTCATTGTCACAGACTCTTGCTGTTCTTACCTAGATTCAGATTTTCTAGAATAAATGCTTCTTCATTTGTTGTATTCTCTTATGATCATTTCCAGAGACTTTAAATAATTTAAATTTTTTTTCACCAATTAAATTTTTGTTTTACTGGAGAGAGTGTCTGCTGAGCCCCTCACTCAGCTATTCTGGAAGTCCTACTTCCCTCCTGCTTTACCTTGAATACATCTGTGCCTTTCCTACCTGCCTTAACATGAATTACTTCCAGTTATGAAGAAATGTATAAAAGCACATTCTTTAAATGTTTTATTATGTGTTACCTTTGTATCCATAAACACAGGGACACAGTCTGACAGCCTTGCCCATATGACTAAGTTGGAATATTTGTAATTCATTCTACCAGAGTGAGTTCTGGGGTTGTGGCTGGTACAGAAGAGGAAGAAAGAAAACCTTAGAGATTATTTTCAGCCACAAGAATATTTTGCTTTTGCTAAAATGATGGTGACTAAAGCAGAACAACATGAATGTCAGTGGGTCATATAGAAAATTAGCATGAGGTACTCATGTCCACTCCTTGCCCCAAAGAGTTTACATTTAAGCCATAACTGGGGGAGTGTCAAAAACACAAAGGGTTGCTATAAAATGCTTGCCTGCTACAGATGCATGTTAAGTATTTGATGGAAGAGAGTGAGATAAACTACTTGGCTGCCCCAAATCCTTTCCCCCTGCTTTGATGGAACAGAGCTGTCTTCACTACTCATAATCTTGCCTGCTCCAAACATAAGCTTCTCTAGGTTTGGATTCTAGCGGACATCTGAACAGAAGGCTTCCCTCCAACTGCCTTCCTGCTCATGCTCTTCATCTTGTCAGTGGGAGACTCCATGTCTCCAGTCTAAAATAAAAATGTAAGAAGTCCCCAACTTGTGCTCCAAAACATATTACTCGGGATATCTTTCCACAGAAACAGTATTATGTACATGGGCAAAGTTAGCAAACCAGACCACAGAGCCAGTTTGGTACCGAAGCTAACTTTACTATGATTCACACAATTCTAACCAAAGCATGGCCTGTACTAATGTTTTCACAGGAAATGCATCAGAAATTCCAACTTCTGACACTGCATTTCTCTGGTTGCAGTCAAGGCAGACAAAGAAAAGACACCCACTTCCTTCCCTTCCCCTCCCACCTACCAGGTGACAAATCTCTGGGCAGGGACTGCCGAGAGCCTCTGGGAGCTACAGAGAGGTAAGGCTGAGAAACGAGGGCAAGGGAGAGGGGCCCATGAACCGGGCCCACCGAGGGGCAGGAAAAAAAGGGAGGGTTTGGGATATGGCATTCAAACGTTTACGCAGACAGGCAGATGACTGGGACCAGGAAAAGAGGCTCTTAAACTGATGCAGAGGGAAGTACGGGCCGAAGAAGAAAGATAAAAGAATAATAGCTAACTTACAAGCCAGGGCTTCTTGGTTCCAAGCGCTTTATCTGTCAGCACACAGTGACCCTCACAACAGTGTTGTGAGACAGGCACTGGTATTAGGACCCCAGGAACAGAAGGATTAAGTAACTTGCCAAGCCAATAGCTGGTGCCACCCTCGCTCCTCACTGCTTTGTCCTCCAGCTTAGGGGACAATTTCCCCTCTCCTGTGCCTCACTCACAGATCAGTGTGGCTGATCTCATAGATGGGACTGCTCCATGCCTATTCTAACCGCCTCCTGTGTTGAGGGGCTGGATAGCTAAAACCAGCAATTCGCAGATTCCCCTGGAGCTGGGCTCTGGATGCCACCTGGGTTTGCAAATTACAAGCATTTGAGTAAGATTATAGAGATGGAGGAGGCTGCATCCTTTAGCATGTTGAACATTTCTCCAGCTGTGCCCTGTCCCTGGCTCCCTGGGTGCCAAGCGGTGGCCATGGAGGCAGCAGCACTGCAGACCTCCTACCCTTGCATTCTGGGCTGACACCCAGCCATCCAGTGGAGGCCTCCTTGGAAGCCCAGCCTAGAGCCTGCTGCACCAGCTCGTAACCACCCAGGTTAGCACCCGGTTACTGTGGTGAGTCTCTTTATAATACCTGGCGTGGTGTTTATCTCCTGCCCTGGGCCCTGACTGACAATCTCCTCTTCTTTCTCCTCCCTTCCCCGACACCATGGGCCATAGGGGAAGAACAATGGCAGACAGCTGGGGGTACGCAGGAGAGAATGACATGGGCAAACCTCTTCACTCAGGTGTTCACCCACCCAACACTTACTGCATACCTGTCATGCTCTAGGGACAGGGCAGACACCTCCTCCTCCCACCCTCCACCCCCTCAGTGACTCTTACTAGGTTGGGACACCAGGACACAAACAAGTGGGGAAGGAGGAGTTTGTGGTTTCCTCCCTCTCCCTAGGACACCCTGCCTCCTTCGCTCAGCTACCTAGCAGGTTCCTAGACACTATTCAGATACCACTTCCTCTCCAGAGCCTGGATTTGAACCCAGGCAGCTGACTCCAGAGCCCATACGCTTAACTACCAGGAAGGAGGAAGGGATAGGCTTGGAAATATAAGAGAAGGGAGGTGACAAGTCCAGGTAGGAGAGTCGTATGTCAAGGGTTAATCTATTAACATATGTAAGCCAGGGGCTAATTTATTAAACTGCAAGCCACATAGCTCTACCAGAAAGATCTGCCGCATATCTTGATCATGGTATCTCCCCTACCAGGTAAGTATCCTCTGCATTTCTTCAGGAGGAAATTTATCTTGAGGGACTGATGATCAATATGCTATGTTCTGCCCACTTACCTTGGCAAATGGGGAATGAGTAGAAACCCGAGCGGCAGGAATCGCACCGAGGGCCCTCGACCCCAGGGCGGCACAGGCACCTTCCGTGGGCATCACATATCTCAGGGAGAACGCCTTCCAGGTTACAGTCACACCCTGGGGAGGACAACAGACTTTCAGAGGGGGTCTCTATCCTCCAAGAATTATTCAAGGCTTTTAAACATTCTTAGCTCAGAAGACTAGCTCTTAAAGGGAAATTTTTTTTAAAAATTCAGGAAAGGTCAGAGATACCACTACAATACATCTAGGATGGGCATTAATTTGCAAAACAGTTACAATCTTTTAACAACTACCCGTGTGGGAACATTTTTTTTCCTCCAAATCTGAACCCTATAGAGTAAAACTTCAATTTAATAGATTCCCATCTAATGACAATCTTGAATTAAACATATTTCTACCTTTTATTTTTTAGAAGAAAAGAAACGAACATAAATCCAGCCCTACTACGTGACAGGTGAGGCTGTGGGGGCTTCCCCCTGGCTGTCTCACCTCACCTCCAGGCACATGGCCTTCCCAGCAGCCAGGCTGCTACCACCACCTCTGTCCAGCATCTTCCCCCCTCGGGACCTTTGCTCAGGCCATGCCCTCTGCCCGGCGCGACCTTTCCCTGGTTCCTGGCACAGCTGGCTCTTTCTCATCCCTCAGGCATCAGTTTAAATGTCAGCTTTTCAAAAGGTCTCCCGGACTAGTCTGTATAAATGGGCCCACCTTCTCTCTACTTATTCTCTCTCCTTAGCTGGGTTTGTCCTTCACAACGCTTTAATTTCTGGAATCATTTATTGGCCTGTGACTCACTTTAACCAATGGAATGAGATGGAAGTATTGTCATGTGACTTCTGAGCACAGGTCCCCACAGGCCTTGCAGTTTCCACTCTTGCCCCTCTGGGAGTCCTGAGAGTGCCAAGGGAGGGACCCACTCTGGCCTCCAGGAGGACGAAAGACCACATGGAGAGACACCAGCTGTCCCAGCTGAGCTCGGCCCCAGCAGACCCTCCAGCAAGTCCAGCAGAAGAACCGCCCAGCCAACCCACACAATTGTGAGAAACAGCCCTTGTTTAAGTTACTAAGTTTTTGTGTGATTTATGACTTAGAAATAGATGAATAAAATACCCAGAAGACTAGATGCTTTGTGAGAGCTCAGCACAGTGCCCCCAGGGCCAGCACACAGTATTTCTCAGTAAATAAATTTTTCTCAAAAATACAGTGCCCTAGCCCAGATGCAGTGGCTCATGCCTATAATCCTAGCACTTTGGGAGGATCACTTGAGGCCAGGAGTTTGACACAAGCCTGAGCAACATGGCAAGACCTCATCTCTACAAAAAAAATAACAATTACACACACGTGCACACCCACACACACACACACACACACACACACAGGGCTCTTGCTTGCCTTCATTATGAATGGATAAATAAAGTCAAGCAAGAGTCCTGTAAGACAGGTAAACATTTATAAATGAGGAAAAAGATGCTCAGAAGGGTTCATTAGCTTGCCCAAGGTCACACAGCCAGGAGGGCAAAGACGGAATTTGAACCCAGGTCTGCCTGATTCCAAAGTCCATGTGTTCTTTCTAATATACTAAGAATACGAGTTGATAATGATTTTTTTTTGAGACAAGGTCTCACTCTGTCACCCCAGCTAGAGTGCAGTAGCATCATCATAGCTCACTGCAACCTCAAAGTCCTGCACTCAAGCGATCCTCCTGCCTCAGCCTCCCAAGTAGCTAGGACTACAGGCTCGCACCACCACGCCAAGCTAATTTTTCTATTTTTGGTAGAGACAGGGTCTTGCTCTTGCTCAGGCTGGTCTTGAACTCCGGATCTCAAGTGATCTTCCAGCCTCGGCCTCCCAAAGTGTTAGGATTACAGGCATGAGCTACCACATCTGGCCTGATAATGATTTTTAAAGCAACTTTCAGAGAATATCCTAGATTAGTATATATATTCAAACAGATCTCATATTTAAAACATCTACATTTCTCTCAATTACATTAATATCTAATTTTGCAACAGGTCCCCTGAGAAAGATCGTGAAAGACTCAAAGATTCAACTGGGTTCACCCTACTTTTTTGGTAAGTCTCATGCATTTTAGAAAGATTTTCTACAAGGGTTAAAATAATAGTTACTGTGAAAAGTAGCTAAATCCCTTTGCCCTAAACTCCTAATTTTTCAAATAAAAAGTTGGTCGCAAGGTTGTGGAATTATTTTCTAATACAGTAATTAAGAAAAAAGATCAAGGTAAATCAGAACAACTTTATAGTCTTTGTATGATCTCTAATTTGTTCATATTTAGATAAAACAGTCACTTAATTTGACAAAAAAAAAATCATTGGAAGTGAAGGAGTCTGAAATATGCCACTTTGGGATATCAATTATTTTGAGCTGAAGGCACTTGAGAAACAGCAGGTGTAGGAAGGAAAGACTCTCTGACTTCACCTTTTCTACCTAAAAGCAGGTCATAAAATTTCCCAGGAGAAGCCAAGGACAGCATCCCCTGTCTTGGGAGGCCAAGACAGGAGGATTAATTGAGGCCAGTAGTTTGAGACCAGGCTGGGCAACATACCCTGCCTCTACCAAAAAAAAAATAATTTTAAAAAAAATTCCCAGGATAAAGGTGCCTTCTCTTTACCAGAAGGAGAGCATTCTTATCACCAGAGATTGGGAGTCAACTGAAATGGATCTGCACAAACAAACCCACCAAAATACCCCTCAGCTTCCATTACTTTCTCCTGTATATTTCCTAGTCACCGTTCCACAATGTAATGTCCCTAGTCTGAGTTCTTCATCTTGTCACATCCCCACAATCGTTTATTCTTTGTGTAAACATGTATATCATATAAGCTTTTGGGCCTCTTGGCCTTTTCGTGTCTTGTTTTCCTTCTGAAGACTTCCAGGTACATGTAAAACTAGTAAGTAATTTGTATGTTTCTTTCCTGTTAATCTGTCTTATGTCCATTTAATCCTTAGGCCCAGCCACAGAACCTGAGAGGACAGAAGAGAGTTTTTCCTCCCCTACAGAAGTGACCAAGGGCACATTCATGATGAGAGAAGCCTTGGAACCCAGGCTGGCATGAGCCACCCTGTCCGTCCATCACAGCTGCCATACAAGGTCCCCATGCCACAGCCCTGTAGGCTGAGACCACCACAGGGAAAGGAATGCGTTACTATGAATTACAGTCTTGGTGTTAAACTAACATTGAGGTTTAATGAGGAACTTGGACTTGACATCGAGGTTCAAAGAATCCTGATTTACAACAGAAACAGAAAGAACATGCTGTACCTTGTCACTAGGTCATGGTGTTTATATCTCAGAAAAGTCCCTTAAATATTCCTCTCCTACCAGAGTTCAAGATCTTATCCTTGTCTGCCTGAATGATTTGAAGAACCTCTTAGGGAGGCCACCTGTGTCCTGTCTTACCGCTCTAATTCATTCTCCATCAGTGATCTTTCAAAAACGTCAAGCTTTTCATATCACTTCCCAGTTTTAAAACCTAGGTTCAAATTCTAACTCTGCCCTCCCGGCTGTTAATGAACCTTTCATTAACAAGATACAAATGAGTATCTTTTTACTCATTTGTAAATCTTTACCTGTCTTACAGGACTCTTGCTTGACTTTATCATTTATCCATTCATAATGAAGGCAAGCAAGAGCCCTGTGTGTGTGTGTGTGTGTGTGTGTGTGTGTATAATTATTATTTCTTTTGTAGAGATGAGGTCTTGCCATGTCGCTCAGGCCTGTGTCAATGTGACCCAATGCTTGCGGGACACAATGTGAAGTCCTTCACATGTGGCAGAATAGATCTTCCAAAATCTTCCAGGCTGCCAGCAGCCCATGTGGCACTTTTGTGCCTGCCAAGGAGAGCCCTCCTGAGACTACGTCCTCTGCCTGCCCACACGTGGGACACCACAGCAGGAGGAGGACCTGTGCTCACACACACCTGGCTCTGCCTCCCCAGCGAGATGAGCATGTGGCTATCAGGCCTCTACAGGTGCTCTGGGGTAGGAAAGGCAAACATAGCAGGTGTCCCGAGCATGACCCAGATGGGGCCAGTCGTGGGTTGTGTGCATTGCTGTGCCCTTACCTTGGTGTAGGTGTGCCCTTCTGAGTACGAATGTGTCCCTGTGTGTGCTAATATGGGTTTATGTAGGAAACTGCCCATAGCTCCAGACTTGAGTCTAGAGGTCTGGAATCTTCTCATACGTGTAAGTTTATGCTTATGGTGTGAATGGCTCCCCCTTAAAAGTTGGGGCCCGTGTGCATATACCCTGCATATCACAGTCTGACTTATTAGATATTTTACTTGTTTTCTGGTTTATATATTATATTTGTTATTGTCTGAGTCCCCCCACTAGAGTATAAGGTCTGGGAAGAGCCGAAAAATTTTTTTTCTATTCTGTTCACTGCTAAGCCCCCAGCAGCCAGAATGGTGCTTCACACGTAACAGGGAATCTTAAAATACTCATGGAACAAATGACCAGGTAGGTATAGCACCCACATCCTCTGAGTATTTACCTCTCCACCCCCAAGACTGCCTACTGAACACCCCTGCTGCCCAGGGGCTTGTCTTTTGGCTTCAGAAGCCCCTCAGCCTTCCTGCTGGCCAAGCTGTAAGTGCCAGGAGTTAATGCCCCAGGAGCATTAAAGCCTCCACTAACAGCAGATAACTGGCGTTACCCCTTCAGATGGGTTCACTGTGCGCAAGTTCTATGCTGTCTCCTAGAGTCGTTTAGAGGGATGCAGCTGCAGGTGTGACAATAGGAACCTGCAGGCTGATGCACCTTTATAATGGCTCCCTTCACTCCCTGACTCTCCCTTTCTTCCTGGTGTCTCCTGGGATCACCTCCCAAATAAACTGCTTGCACTCAACTCCTTTCTCAGGGTCTGTTTTTGAAGATCTCAAATGAGACAGTAGACAACTGGCTGCCACTGGAGGTTTCTGAGCAAGCTAGTGATGGACACTCCAAGCCCTGTGTGGTTTCCTTAACCAGGCGGTGCCATCACAAAGGGCAGACTGGAATAGCGAATGACGAGTGCTGAGCAGGTCGAGCAGGCGACACCTGCAGGGCACCCACCACACTCCAGGAAAAGGGGACTTGCACCTGGGCTTGGCAGGGTGCACAGGAAGTAGGAAAAGAGCATGGAGCATAACATCTTCACTCAAGTTAGACTAAAAGAGAGATACTTGCCTTTCATATCTCCAGCTACTGCATCTTCTGGATTTGGAGTAGAAACAGGAAAAATGGGAATTCCTGTAAAAATAGTTTATTAAAAAATAGAGAATGATTAAGGAGATAGTAAAGTAAAATATTAAATTGCACTAGCTAGGAGGAAGTCCTCTTTCACTTAGTGAAAAGTAGCATGTAGAAAATTGAAAGAAAGGTGATACTGCCATGTTTCAAATGTGTCTAGTAACTGAGACCAGGCTAGTCAGACATTCTAATTTGTATATTATTGAATAGAAATGGAGGTTTTGTGCTCACAATAGCTAAGTTTCAGCCTAAGCAGGGATAAGCTTGGCTTCTTTAGCATCTTTATTGAGTTTTTTAATTTAAAATTGAGACTAGCTTTTAAAAATGTTTTCTGTCATTTTTTTCCTAAAATTTTATGCTATAAAACTGTTTCAGGTTTCTTCTTTTTTTAGTCCACTAAAAAGGCAAATGCAATTTCTATTTAGCCCCTATCCAATAATCACAGATTCTAAATTGATTAAATCCCAATGTGGTATCATTTTATTTGGGCTTAAATCATTTGTTTCTTGAAATATAAAATGATCATATAACTCATCTTCCAAACTAGGACAATCTCCACTAAGAAAGTGGGTGCAATTTTAATAATTACCCTGGAACAGCAAGTGTAAACCAAAACATATAGTCACCCCATTCACATGAGTCCTGTGCCCGTGTCCCCACAACTCAGTATGCTTTTCCTGTGATAGTTCTACAGGAGTTAACATGCGTGGGGATGGGCAAGAATTAATGTAGCAATGGGATGGGGAAGGGGGTCTTCTTGAGATGGTGTCTCTTTGCCCTAACCCACAAGTGCAGTTTTTACACTGCTGCAGAACAAACAGAATCCATACTCTCCTCACAATTTGCATAACTGGTTTCACAGATTGTTCTGCTTTATTTTCTATAGTGTTTCTGACAGATATATATTTTTTCTCTCGGAGATGCCAAGACGTTCACTTGGATCATTGCAGTGGGATAGAGGTGGGGGCACTTATAACTTGGCCTATCACACAGCAGGAAAGAGGAAACACATCCTCCGCACCCCCAAAACATGACACACACTAAATGTATGCAAACAAACATCTAGAAGCCCGTGACATTTCTTCTAAGTTTATGAAAAATCACACATATGGATTACTATTAAGTTGGAATTGCCAGTATTTGACCTTTTTGACCTATTGAGATGGCAACATCCATGGCACAATGTAACACTTTAGAGATAAAGAAGACTATAAAATATATGTATATAAAATTTATATTCCAAGCTTTTGGAAACACTTTCATGTAAATGCAATCTACCTGGCCCCATTTCTGTCTTCCTCCCAACCCTGCCTGCCATACTCTCAGGTGTTAATGCACAAAAGCCAGCTATGGACCAAAAAAGGATGACCTGTTGTTCCGCAGGAGGTACTTACTCAAGCAAAACGGGAAATTATAGTATCCAACCGCACACTTCTCACAGCTGTCTCCGTGGAAATTCGGCTTGCAGTGACAGCGGCCCGAGCCCTGCTCACAGCCCTCTGCGTGCTCAGGGTCACAGCTGCAAGCTAAGAGAAGTCCCGGTTTTCAAAGGATCAGTCTTTCACTGCACTTAATGCGGCAAATATGTCCCAATACTTCTCAGGCAATGTTTCATACTTGATCATTGCTTTACAATTATTCTTGAAAGAGCACAGCCTGTGTCTCACTTCATACCTGACTGATGGTTCTCATGGACTGAGCCTCATGGGAGTCAGAGATAAGCTTTAATGAGCATCCACACAGAGAAGTTTTCATGAATGGCGTTTATTACACTAAGAGCTGCCCCACTCACCGAGCAAGAGGCAAAGCCAGCACAGGCTACAGTCAGAGGGGCTGGTGGGTGGGGTGTGCTGTCAGTCCTGGCAGGTCTGTTGCACACAGCCTCTGCTGGCCATGAGCCAACTGTGTATGTCCGCAAAGTGGTCATCATTACACAGTTGTCATGCAGACACAAGTGTAGGATGCCCAGACATGCATATGTAATCTGTGGACAGCATAGGAAGATTACACTCATAGCCCAAATGTTAGATTCGAGTGATATGGCTTAATGATGGCAGTTTTTGCAACCAAATATGATTACTCGGTTTGCGTTGCAGAGGGACATAGCTGGAGTATAAGAGGTTTGGTAACTCCCCCACTCGAGGGCTTCCCTCTACCTGGCAGGTTGTCACTCTAGACAGGGAAACTGCTGTCATAGCTCCTCTGAGCACATCTCTCGGGAAGAACTGGGAGACCTGGCATCTCCAGGTGTGCTTTACTTAATTTGTTTAGGATTTATGTGTCCCTATGGATCTTTTATGCTAAGCCTCTAATACCACAGTGGACCACTTCAATAATGAAGAAAAAGATAGAAAAGTGATTTTAAAAGTGAGGCTCCTAACCAGGTATGATCACGTTCACAATGTCCTGTCTTCCTTTGCTAATGCCTACGCTCTGTGGGCACAAGACAAGTGATGGACACGCTTTGTGGGATGATGTGGAAGAAGGATACTTTATTATACTTTGTTAACAACTAAGAATGCCCTACAAAGAAGCAAATCAGTTTATATATTCTTTAGACTTCAATGTCTTCAAATGTTAATGATATGCTGAATTAATTTAGGGGTGGGACCTGGGCAACTCCAGGACTGAAATTGTTTTCCACTTCTGACAACAAGACGGCATAAAAGAACCAAGTATTGAATAAGGTATAGGTTATACATGTGGGACAAAGTCCATAATCTGACCTAAGGCTGATAATTCCATAGAGAAAAACTGGTGGCATTTTTCCATATAATAGATATGTTAAGGCACAGTCCTGCCAGCCGGAAATGAGCTGCATATCTTGGCTCTACCAGTTAGTGGCTTTGTTGCCTATCCCAAAATACGTAACTACTCAGACCCTTTATTTTTCCCCATATCTAAAAATGAGAATAATAATACAATGTCTTGTTCATTGTGATAATTAAATGAAACCTCTGTAAAAGTATCTAGGCAATGCCTTGCATGTGGCAAGTGTTCAATAAATTGTAGCTACTTTAAATATTATGACTATTATTAAATACTTACCAACTCATGACTATGTTGTCTCAATGTTAATTCTGACAAAAGTTGAAATTATTGGAGATCATAGAAACATCTCTAAACAACAGAAAATGGATGAACCAACATTTCTCACAGGTCTTGTATGTGACAGGCCCAATGTTAAGTATTTTCCTACATGTTTTTAATGGTCTTTCATTTAATCTTATGAAATATATTATCATTTCCATTTACATACAAGGAATCGAGGTTTGGAGAGAGTATATATCACACAGTTAGGAAGGTTTAGAACCAATACTATGAAGAGACAGCATGAAGGAAATTATTAACCAATTGGAATTTGGCCTGATGACTTCCTTAAAGCAGTACATACAATCTGAGATACGCCAAGTTGAAATGAAACTTACGGATGCAGCCATGGGGGGCGTCCACTGGAAGCCCATAAGGTCGGTAATAACCCTTAGCACACTTTTCACAGTTTACACCAGCTGTGTTATGCTAGAAGGAAACAAAACAAACTTAGAAGGAAGGGTTCTGGTGAAGAATTCCAGTACTCCTTATTCTGTTCTATTCACCCAGAGGAATAATGCTGTCATATATCATTGTAATATGGCAAGTGCCATATGACAAAGTCACTAAAAAAATAAGCATTGATCTTGACCTTGAGTCTTTGGGATTTACCACAAGACACTGACTTAACCATGGCTCTGGAATTTTTCCCACTGGGGAAGGAAATGAGGAAAAGTTCTGCGAACTGGACAGCCCAAGCTTTACCCTCCACCAAAGAATTTGCTGTAATGAAGCACCTGACATCGGAGTGAGAAAAAAACTCAAGAGGACTATTCCCCATGGCCCCATTCAGAAGCACTGATGAATGGATAATAAATCACCTTTAGGTTTAACCCAAGCAATAATGTTATATGTATATTTATGTTTATATCTTCCCAAATTTTTTTTTTTCCCCAGTTCCAGAATGCAAGTCTTCTCCAATTTTGGAAGAAATAGCATACACAAATCCTTGTCTCTCATTGTTCTAATTTTATCTGTGCTTTAGTCATGAAACCCTTTCCCAAACATTTCTATTATGTGAACGGAAAATGTAGGCATGAGTCTCACACACAGAGCTCATTTTAAAGTACAGTATTAGGAGGCATTTTCTAGTTCATGGTTAATCCTTGTAATTGCCACAAAATCAAATTACCCAACATGCATCATCAGTTTCCAAGAATTATACACCACAGATCTAACTCAATTCTGCCTTGCTCTCTCTCTAATTTAGAAATAATTAGGAGGACAGTGTTCTTTAATTAATGAAAGGAAAGGCAATAGGAAGTTAGAAGAACAAATACAACACACTTTGACCCACACAAAGGTCTGCACAGAAACACGTAAGGAAGAACAAAGACCCATTCTGCAGCCTCTCCTGTTTTAGATGATTTTATTAACTACAGGCTTTTATTTATTACCACTCCTTTTCCTGTAGGCTAAAATCTGAATTCACTTTAACACTGGGGTCTAAAACCACACTGGCCACTCCTCTGACTTAGTATTTATGTGCATAAACATTGTGGGCAAATAAGAAACAGCTGCAGCCACCCTTCCTTCCCATCAAATGCCAGTTAACCCTCAACTCCACTGCTAGTCACTAACAGAGAACATCAGCTTAATCCTGGCTCCCAAATCTCTTCCCATTGGAGTGGGAAATGAGAACATGTTCCCTGAAACGGGCAGCCCAGCCTTTCCCTTCTTCCACAAAGTTTGGTTAACGAAGCACCTGCCATAGAGAAGTTTATTTTTAAGACACAGAGAACAGCAATGAAAGACTGAGAAAGAGCAACAATTTACAGTACTGGGCAGATGGAATAATGCTTGGAGTGTGCCCTGAAATCTCAGGTGGTTCTCTGGACCTGCACAGCCTGAGGGCAAGATACATCACTTTACCCATGGACACCAAGGTCCTGGTTGGACCAAGGCCAGGTTGAGACCCAGGAACAGTGGTGACTCCATAATTTCTATACTGGAGGCACGGGGGGAAGCGATCTTGCTGGGAGGAGTGGGTGCTTGAAGTTACATTTGCATGACACATAAGATGAGAAAACTTCAACCAGTCAAGCGAAGAGTGGAGTGGGTGCTGATGGGATCTATGCAGGTTATAAGCCCACCCCCCAGCTTACTCCTTCCTTGGGCACCACCCAGAGAGGCTTTCTGTGGAATGCTCACCTAGAAACCAGGTCTGAATTCCTCCAAGCAGAATTTTCCCAAGGTGTTTTTCAATCTTCAGGCAAACCACATCTCTCTGCCTCTCTGTCTTTCCCTCAATTCCTTGACCACACCTACAACTCTGTCTCTGGTTTCCACTTCTGTGAACCCCGAGCACATGGAGACCACTGAGTGGTCTATTCACTGGCCAGCCTGTCCCGGGAGACCCCATAATGGATTTTCCTTACTTAGGCCTCCAGGGCCCCCGCAGGATCTGGCACCTGCTACCTCTCTGGACTCATGGATTGGATCTTCTACTCAGTCCCCTCCAGCAACACCGGCTTCCTTGCTCTCTCAAAAGGCCTTTTACCCTGCTGGCCCCTCTGGCTGGGATGCTGTCCCCAGACATTTACCTGGCTCATTCTCTCACTCCTTCCTGTCTTTACTCAAATGCCACATCTCAGGGTACTGTCCATGTTATTTAAAATTTCTCATACCCAAACCAATAGTTAGAACAGGAAACCCAAGAAATAAAAATAAAATCAATACTGCATGAGAATATAGCCATCTCTGGTAACTGCTGGCCCTGCAGGAAAAGGATCTGGTGCTCTTAGATCCTGGCTGCTTGACTCCATGAAAGTCTCCGGGGCCAGCCTGCCTGGGATGTTCCCATTTAGTGTCCCCATCCAGGAGCTGATGGCAGAAATCCTCATTCTCTGGTACCAGCAATGCATAGAAGAGCCGGGTATATGTCTTCTAACGACAAATCCAGACTTGCTCTGGAAGCATCACCTTGTAGCTCACCAAGCCCACTGGCCCTGCAGCACCTCCTGTCCTCCCTTCCTAGTCAGGACTCCCCCGTCCCTCTGTATATGGCATAAGATAAGGCTAAAGAGCCAATTGTCCCAACATCATTTATGCAATGTTCATCTCTCTTTTCCATAAGAAATGCCAATTTTCTTTTAAATCAATTTTTTTCTTAAACCAAATTTTAACATCTATATAAATTTGTCTCTAGATTGTCTGGAAGGTTCTATTGAACAATTTTTTATCCCTGCATTGAGTCCATAGTTAATACCGACTCATGTCAGTTTTGATATCTCAGAAGACAAATTTCCTCCAAAATTGTTAATCTTTTCTAAGCTATTTGTCTATTCTCATTTTTTTTATTGATAAGAACTTTAGAATCAGTCTGTCAACTTTCATAAAAAATCCTTTTGGAATTCTGATTGTGATTGCACTGAATTTATAGATTGGTTTCAGAGAAATGGTGTATTTATGCTATTAAGTCTGGAAACGCATTATGCCTCTTCATACAGGTCTTCTTTTAAAAACATCCATAGAGTTTTACAGGTCTGACCGCAGCTCCACAACTAACTCCTATCTGTTGGCTCTTGGGGCACCATTAATCATTCTGACATTCACAGACATGTTCTCCTTCATGTATGTGTTTTTGCTTTCTTTCTGGAATCTCTTGAAATCCCTGGTCTGTTCATGCTACGCTTTCCTATTTTTCATGCTATGATGTATTCTGGAAGGAGGGAGTGTTTTGCTTTTAAAATATCTTTTCTGTCTTTCTGTGGGATTTGTTGTAGAAGGGAACATGGCCATCTGGGTTCCATCTGCTTCTTGATCCTGTCTCATAGCCTTGTGTGGTGTATGTGCGTGAGAGAGACAAACGGTTTGGAAACAGTGAGACCAACACGTCAAGGACACAAACAGCTAGGGAGCAGCCTTAAGATTTAGATCAGAAGTCACGTCTGCATGGAAGAGGTGAAAGACTTTGTTCTAGTTAACGGAGTATCTTCGAGCATCATCTCAAACAACAGGGGTAATCTCCAATCTTAGTTAAGCACATCAATACTTTACCAAAGGGAAAGAAATCAAGGAGTCAATCCAAAAAACGTTGTGCTACTAGCCACCTTCTTTCATTGCTTTTTCCGCCCAACATTTTATCATGAAAAATTTCCAAACTACAGCGAACACCTATACACCCCCACTTAGAAGTTCCCATTCACATTCTACCATACTTGCTTTATCACATAGTTATCCGCCCACCCCTTCTTCTATCGATCCACTAATCTTATTTTTATGCTTTAAAAATTAAACCGCAGATATCAGTCACTTTCCCCTACATACTTCAGCATGCACTTCATTAACTGGAATTCAAGATTTTCTTAAAAGTTTTTTCTTTTCCTGTAAAATTTATATACAATAAGTGCAAAACTCTTAATTATACATTCACTGAATTACAGCAAATGCATACATCTGTGAAATCCAATTCCTTATCTAGATATAGAACAATATCATTACCCCAAAATTCTCCATGCCCCCTCCTGTCAAGCCCCATCACTGACTCCTCAGAGTCAACCACAGTTCTGATTTTTTCCGGTATTGATTGGTTTTCCCTGTCTCAGAATTTCATGTAAATGACCCTCATGTTTTCGTGTTTTTATTGTCAGTCACCTTTCACTCAGCATGTTTTTAAGATTCCTGCACATTGTTGCTGCATCAGTGAACAGTTTGTTTCTCTCTGTTGCTCCTTAGGACTCCATTCTATGAAGACGCCAGTTTCTTCATTCATTCTACTATTGATGGTCACCTGGGCTATTTCCAGTTTGGGGCTATTTGCATAATGCTGCTACAAACTTTTTGTAAACAAACATTTCCATTTCTTATGAGCAAATGCATAGCAGTGGAATTTGTGAGTCGTGGGGTAGGTGTGTGTTTAGTTTTATTAAAAAGAAATGCCCAGACATTTGCCCAAAGCAGTTGTACTATTCCACATTCACACCGACAATACATAATTTGTATAGTTGTCCACATAATTGGGCATCATTAGCCTTTTTTTTTTTTCATTAGCCTTTTTAATAACAGCCATCCTTTAAAGCTATTTAAAAAAAACCTATCCTGGTGAGTATGTAGCAGTATGTCATCGTAATTTTAATTTGCATTTCTCTGATGACTAATGACGTTAAGCCCTTTGATGTACATACTTATTGGCCATTCATATATCTACTTTTGTGAAGTGGCTGTTCAAATCTTTGGCGTTAGTTTTCAGGTTATTTGTCTTTTTTATAACTGAGCTTTGGGAGTTCTTTATATATCCTGGATACCAACCATTTGCCAGATTTATGTTTTGTGAATATTTTCTGTCTGTGGCTTGACTAGCCATTGTCTTAATAGTGTCTTTTGTGGGCAGAAGTTTTTAATTTTGATGAAGTCTAATTTGTCAATTTTTCATGGTTATTTGCTTTTTGTGACCTAAAAAAGCTTAGCTCATCCTCCAAATCACAAAGATATTCTTCTACGTGTCTGTAATTGATTTAATTTTATGTATGATTTGAGGTTGGGGTCAACGTTTATTTTTTTACATACAAATATCCAGTTTCCCCAGAATTATTTGTTGAAAAGACTTTCCTTCCCCCCCTGCCCCACTGGATTGCTTTGGTACTTTTATCAAAAATCAAATGTCTCTGAAGTGTGGGTCTGTTTCTGTGCTCCCCATTCTGCTACATTAATCTATTTGTCTATCCGTATGTCAGTATCACACTATACCATCTTAATTACTGTAGTTTTATAGTTAATCTTGAAGTAAGATAATACAAGTCCTCCAGCTTTATTCTACTTTTTCAAGACAACTTTGGATATTCTAAAACATTTACATATCCATATAAATTTTAGAACCCACTTGTCAATTTCTATCCAAAAATCTGCATTAAATCTTTAGACCAATTTGATGAGAATTAACATCTTAATGATATCGAGTCTTCTAATCCATAAACATGTTATATCTTTCCATTTATTTAAGTCTAAGTTTCTCTCAGCTATGCTTTTTAGTTTTAGTACAGAGGTCTCACATGCCTTTTGTGAAGTTTATTCCTAAGTATTTCAGGTTTTTTGACACAATTTTAAATTTTTATTTCATTTTCCCATTGTTTTCTGCTAGTATATAAAATACAGTTAATTTTGTATATTTTCCTTATGTTCTGCAATCTTATTAAATTCATTTATTAGTTCTATTGGTTGTTTTATATATTCCTTAGAATTTTCTATATAAGAAATCATGTCATCTGAAAATAGACACAGTTTTACTTCTTCCTTTCCAACGTAAATGCCTTTTGTTTCTTTTTCTTGCTTTACTGCAATGGTTAGGACCTCCAGGGCACTGTTTAACAGAAGTGGAGAAGAGCAGTATTTTTGCCTTGTTCCCAACATTTGGAAGGAAAGAATCCAATATTTCACCACTAATATCCACTAACATGATGTTAATTGTAGGGTTTTCATAAATGTCCTTTATTAGATAACAGAAATTTACTTCTATTCTTAGTTGGCTAAGAGATTTTATGATAAAATAGGTATCAATTTTGTCTAATGGCATTTCACATGATTCTTTTCCTTCATTCTGTTAATACGATTAATTACGTAGATTGGCTTTTGAATGTTCAATCAACCTTGTTTTCCTGGGATAAGCCCTACTCTTCTTAATGTATTATTTTTATTATATATTGCTGAATTTGTTATTCTAATATTTTGTTATGTATTTTTGAATCTATGATGTTCATGAGAGATATTTGGTCAGGTATTTTCTTTTATGTAACGTCTGAAAGGTTTTGGTGTTAAGGCTATGCTGGTCTCATCAAACAAGCTGGAAAATGTTCTCTCCTCTCACTTCTGAGAGAAATTGCATAAGATTTCAGTTGCTTCTTCCTTAAATGTTTAGTAGCATTCACCAGTAAAACCATCTGGCTTTGCATTTTCTTTTTCAGGAAATGTTCATAATGAATTCAATTTTTTTTCATAGATACAGGGCTATTCAGATGTTCTGCTTCATCTTGTGTCAGTTTTAGTAAGTTATAGTTTGCAAGAAATTTGTCCATTTAATCTAGATTGTCAATTTTTTGGCATAAAATTGTTCATAGTATTCTTTCATTTTCCTTCTAATGTCTGTAGCCTGTACTCACTACAGTAATAAACCATTTTTATGTATGATATTGCTAATTTGTAATCTCCTTCTCTTTTTTCTTGATCAACGTAACTGGGAATTTATTGGTTTTGATGAGCTTTTCAAAAAACCAGATTTGGGCTTTGTTAATTTTTTCTATTGTTTTCCTGTTTTCTCTTTTGTTGAATTCTGCTCCTTTCTTTATTATTTTCTTCTTTCTACTTACTTTGGGTCTACTTTGCTCTTCTTCTACTAGCTTCTTAAGGTGGAACCTTGGGTGATTGATTTTGGACTTTTTTTCTAACATAAGCATTTAAAGTTGTGATGCAGGAAGAGCCAATATGGCAGACGAGAAAAGCCGCCAGTCAGAGTGTCTCTGCAAAAAAGACAAATTTTAGAAGAAAGAGAAAAAAATAAACTAGCAGAGAAACATAGATCGGGTGAGGGTCAGAAGGAAGGGTGCCTGAAACTACAGGAGACTCCACGGGAAGACGTCGTGGAGGAGAACTGGAAGGAGAACGGTCCTGAGAGGCTTGGAGACCAGCGACAAGGGGTAGGTGGAGCAGATAACTTCCCCCTCCCTTCCATCTTGGACTGCTGGTGGGCACCTGAGCAATTGGAGAGACCTGCCATCACCAGCCCAGAGACAGCTGCCGCCAGTGAGCGGTGGCCTCTTGCGGACACGGCGCCGGGCTCCCAGCTCCCTTGGGGCACCTCCCTGGGTGCAGACCCGAGCCTATCGGCAGACGCCATAGTACTCCATTCTCTCCTTCCCCCTCCCTACCCATGGGTGCCCAGAAAGACAATTTATCCATCACACGGAGGCATCTCCAAGGAACGGGACCTTTCCTTTTGGGGCCCTACAGCAGACTGAGGGGTACTCAGACTGCGAGCTCCCTACCCACCAGCCCTCCCAGGTGCTGCTTGCCTGGGGACTCAAGGAGAGCGGGGCAAATCCTGAGGTGGAGTGAAATAGATCCAGCTTGGCCACCCTGTAGGTGGTTCAAGACCAGCAACCCTCCCCCTGGCAGGGTCAGGGATTGATCTCCAGGGCCCAGGGGACAGGCCTGAAGACCACATCCCGTACACCCAGGTCACGATTGCACTGCCCGGGGGCACAGAAGAGAGATCTGTGAAAGAGCCTACTGAGGAGTGTGTACCTTCGGGGGCAGATCAGCGTGCCTGAGCAGCAGCCCTCCTCCCAAAAGAGGGCTGTACACCCAGCTCAGGCTGCGATCCTGGGTAGGGAACCTCCCGCCCACGTCACAGCCAGGGGAGATCCATCGGCCTGAGGTTCCGCTTGCTGGCAGAGGCCTGGAAGAGGCCACAAAGAGGGGGAGGGTGGAGGGGAGCGAGACCTGCTCCAGAGTGGGGGTCTTGGACAGCCCCATCCCCCAAGCCCAGACTTTCACCTGAGTGGAGCCATTTCAGCCCCTCCCAGAAGCTTTGCATAGAAGCAAAGAACAGACCTTTCACCCCTGCTAACAGCAGTTGTGGAGCCTGAGGGCAGGCTTACCCAACCCAGCCCCACCCAGACTCACTCCCAGTCCTCCCCTCACTGAGGTGGAGAATAAGACCCACCTGGAAGTCCCAGGGCCCCACCCACCACCCAAGGCACAAGAGGGCCTCTCTAGAGGAACAAGAGCTAGCTACAGGACCCAAAAACAGCACTGCAGCTTGCTCCTCCCTGTAAGTGCCACCTAATGACAGGGAGGTTATCCTGCACACCCTTTTACTGCATCTACTGATTCATCATAAAGGGTATGGTTAAATCTCACCCACAAACACCATCTACTGGCTCAGAGACTAAACAGGGCGTGTCATTATCCAAATGAAAATCTAAAGGCAAGAAGGAACAACTGATCCAGATGGGAAGGAACCAGCGAAAGAATTCTTGAAGCATGAAGACTCAAAAGGAAAGCAGACCTCCAAAGAGGAACAACAGCTCCCCAGCAATGGACATTAACCAAACTCAGAACACTAAAATGACAGAAGAAGAATTTCAAACATGGATTGTAAGAAAACTGAATGATATGCAAGAAAAAAATGGATCACCAACACAAAGAAACCACAAAAAAAATCCAGGACTTGGAAGAAAAATTCACTGAAGAAATTGAAATATTAAAGAAAAATCAAAGCGATCTCCTGGAAATGAAGGATTTCTTCGGGGAACTACAAAACACAGTGGAAAGCCTCAAGAACAGGGTAGATCAAACAGAAGAAAGAATCTCAGAGATTGAAGATAACTCCTTCCAATTAAATAAATCAGTCACAGAGATCGAGCAGAAAATTAAGAGAAAAGAAATAAGCCTACAAGAAATGGTAACATTAACAAAACATCACTCTAAAAGCACACACACAAAAAAGAGTAACAATGTAAACCAAATTCATGAACAGTTTACAGGATTTTTAATGAATATCTCAAAGCAAAAATACTTATACCCTCCTCTGCCATACACCTCTCTTGGCTAAATCCCAGTGTACCCGGTTGTCCTACAGAAGGGCTGGAAAATCAGTGTTTCCTATTTGGTGTCCAAGGAAGACATCATTAATTGATTATGATCCACTTCCTTGCTGAATCCAGCTAGATTCAGAATCTGTCTGAAAATAAGGTGTAGGGTCAGCACAGAAGTCGATACCTATTTGCCCTACTATCTTAGAGTTTTTCTACCACAAGATGGATAGAAGCCAGGAGTGACAGCCAGGAATCCTCCTCTCTATTGAGGCAAAGACCTAAATAAAGAACCCAATCAAAGGAGTTTGGGTAAACACACCTCAGTTCATTTTCCCTACAATCACTAAATTACATCCAACTAACAAGGACTCGTGTGAACAAAAGTGGAGACATGGTCTCAGAAAACACTTTCAATTGTCTATCACTTTCTTGACATGTTTTGGGGAGCAGAGCTTACTGCATGCTCATTCCCTATGACAACATATCCACTTTTATTTATAGTGCCTCACCTGACAGTTAATGCAGACCCCACCACCTGCATAGATGCCTTGGATATTCAAGCTTGCCTGCTGCTGCTCAACATCCGGATCATAGTAACAGTCAGTGGCATGGCCATGGCAGTTGCATGCTGAAAAGAGCATACTAAGTCAATAATCCATCATTACTACGAGACACTTAGTAAATTCCTCTACATATTACTACCGTTCATTGAGCTATGAAAAGTCTATTCTGGAACACCCAGGGCACTCTTAATGGAGAATTTTAGGGATTTTTACAGAAAAACCAACATAGAACAATATGTAATTTATAGCTCCTCTCATTAATTAATTAATTGATATTAAATGAGAGCAGTTTCTTTTTAAATAATAAGATATATAATTATAACAAACTAAAATACATCAAAATGGCAATTAAACTTCATGCACAAAGAGAATATTATTATTACTGCTACCCATAATAACAGAGTTCTCGATACACTTTGAAAAGTGTTTTACATGAATTACCTCATTTAATCTGCATGGTAACTCTCTAAAGTAGGTGCCATGATCCCCATAGCCCAGATGGAAAGCTAAGGCTCAGAGAGGTTAAGGAACATGCCCATAGTTACACAGCTCACAACTAAAAGAGGCAGAATTCAACCTGCCTTCGTTTGACTCTAGAACCTATACTTGGTCAATACTCTAAACCTTTCATCTCAACACTATATAGTGATCAGTTGGGAATAATCTTAATGTCTAATTATAGGGGAATGGCTAAGCAAAGAACGGTATCTTGCTTGACTGTATGTTCTATGACGTGTTTTGTTTACAATACAGCCTAGTCCCCAGAACACAATGGGTACTCAACATTGTTGAATTGACTTGAATCCATAGGATGACAATACTCTGTGCCATCAAAAATGATGTCAAAAAGCTTTTAATAATTTGGAAAAATATGGGGGAAAATATCTAAAAATATCGAGTGAAAAAGATCAGGATATAAAATTACATAGATAATATAGTCTTGAGTATTTAAAATATGCATAAAAATGCTAAAATATCTAACAAAATACTATAGTGGCTCTCTGCTATGGTCTGAAAGTTTGTGTCCCCCTAAAATTTGTATGTTGAAACCTAATCACCAATGATGTGATGTTATCAGGAGATGGGGCTCTGGGAGGTGATAGGTGTCCTTATAAAAGAGCCCCAGAGAGCTGCCTTGCCCCTTCCGCCATGTGAGGGCACAGCAGAAGGTGTCATCTATAAATCAGAAAGCAGGCTCTCATCAGACACTGAATCTGCTAGCACCTGGATCTTGGACTTCCCAGCCTCCAGAACTCTGAGAAATAGATTTCTATTGTTAGCTACTCAGTGTACGGTATTTTGGTACAGCGACCAAACAGACAAAGACATTTTGTTTGGGTAGTAAAATTATTGGTGATTTTACTTTATTTTTTGTAATTTCCTAGTTATCTATAAGTAGTATATAATACTTCTAAAATTGCAAAATTTAATTTAAAACCCATTTGGGATTTTCATCATTGCCTGGATGAAAAAGACTTAACATGAGTAAAATTCTTACTCTTTCTTACTTAGGCAGAATATATATTCATTGCATTCCAATTAGATCAAATTTCCCAAGTAATTTATAAGTTTTAATCAAATTCTCCAGTGAATATTATAGGGAAGAAGACTGAATTTGAAATTATACAAATTACACTGTAACTCATAAAACAGGCTGAGCACTTTCCTATTTTCATTTCCTCTTTGGGGCCATGATAAAAAAAAATTCAAGGCATTTATATTTACTATATCAGTTATTTCTCAAGAAGTCTGTTTTTTTTTTGAATTGCATATTTCAAATGGAATTTAATGGATTCTAATAGGTCTGACTTCCATACACCACTTTTGTAATTTTTAACCATTTTGATAAGTTTTAAAATGTTAAAAACTTATGAAAGGAAATTTAAAATTTTTTTCATGTAGGTTATAGTGAAGCATGACATTCACTGACAGGTTCCAGTGGTCCCCGACCTTTTAGGCACCAGGGGCCATTTTCATGGAGGACAATTTTTTCACAGACCAAGGAGAGGTGGGGGATGGTTTTGGGATGATTCAAGTGCGTGATATTTATTGTGCACTTTATTTCTATTATTATTACTTTGTAATATATAATGAAATAATTATACAACTCACCATAGGTTAGAGACCCCTGTAAAAAACTAATCAAGTTGTGAATGTTGGAGCTCATGTAGTAACAGTTATTCAGTCAAAATATCCTGAACCAGTGCCTGAAAGCAGTAGAAGAAATAACCCCTGATTGTTACCTTTCCCTCTTTCTGGTACGCTTATTCTGGGTTGAGGAATGGGTAAGTCATTGAGAAGGAAACTGCTTGCTCTGACTATAAAGCGAGAGCAGCCATTCTAGTGACACCCCTGGCCTTAGGGATGTGCCTGACCATTCGCCTTAGGCAGCATCAACACCTCCCCACAATGGTAGCATCTCTCAAAACACTCTTGGAACTCCTCACTGGACATGGCTTTTACATAAGTTTACTGGCCATAAGAGATCATCAGTCTTATCTCTCAATAGTTAAAAAAAAATTGGTCAACAAAGTATACAGTACAGGTTATTACCCACCTAGTTCAACAAATCTAGATCCAAATGCCTTTTGGCAACTTCAAAAAAGCAAATCCATCTTCAAATGCTAAGAATATTCAGAAAAATGGGCACAGTCTCTAAAAGCCAATAACTTAAAAGTCACAAAAATGTTTTTGGCTATTGGAATAAATATGTGGCTTTTCAAGAAGATTGGCTTAGAAGAAAATCTCCTGTCAGATGTCCTAGGGCTTGTTGGTTTAAAACAACAGTTTTCTTACTTTATATCACACCCATAAGTTGAAAGCAGCCTCCTGTCTTTTTTCCTTCCTTCTTTTGTCCCTCTGTCTTCTTCAATCCTACTCAATCCTGCCACTTGACTCCGCCCATCCCTCCCTACTCCCTCAACACTCCCAGCTCTCTGTTTACACATCAAATTCACCACCTTCTCCAGACCTCAGTCCTCAGGTAAGAGTCCTATCCAGTGTCACATCCGAGGAGACAGTGAAGGGGTTAAAATTTTAGAGTGGCTGCATCATATTTAAGATTGCCAAAAAGAGAGGCCAACACATCAAAGCACTCAGCCCAATCCTTGTATGCATGGATGCTTCATGCACATTAGTTATTATATTGTTGTTATTCTTCTTCTTATATTTCTATCTGAATTTAGAGGAGGGCATTTTTCCCTCTAGTGTGCGAGTTTTTTGTGACAACAGACAAACCTGAGTCCCTAAGACTGATGTGACCCCCACGTCTTCAGGAGCTTGGGGAAAACAGTCTCAGTCCCCAGGGAGAGAGGGGAGAAGGCCTTGCTCGGGGCTCCATCCCAGTCCAGCCTCGGCCCACACCCACCTTCGCACGCATGGCTCTGTTCCTGCGCGGGCTGCCAGCGCCTCTGATTGTACCCTGCACAGCAGCGGTCGCACGTCTCCCCGCAGGTGTGGTGCTGGCATTCGCACCGAAACCTGGGCATGTGGGCAAAGCGATCTCAGTTACTGAAAAGTTCTGGTGAAGATCAATTGATCCTATGTGAAAAACAGACACATGAACTCGGTCCTGATGGTCATCCGTGGTGCCAATCATCGAGGAATTATGAGAACACAGCACCTTGCGCATATTATTTCAAGTCTCCCATATCCTGCTTGTTGTCTCTGTTCTAGAGATGGTGAAACCAAGAGTCAGAGGTGTTAAGATACTTGCCAGATGGTGATAAATGGAGAGACAGATTTCAAACCCAAGTTTGACTCTCAAGTCCCTGGGCTCTTTGTTTTACGCGAAATGGACAAATGAGCAAAGCAAGTGCGGCATCAACTGCGATGTTTAAGTATCACATCTTCACAAGGACCTGGAGCCCCGTGAGAAAGGTCTGCTGGTGTTTCTTACTCTCAACCTGTGGCCATGCCCAGAGACTGACTGAATTCAACAGACAGCGACGAATAAGATCCCAGAGGACTCTGCTCCCGAAGGCTGTGCCAGCTCCGTCACGGGGCCAAAAGCAGAGTCACTCAGCAAGGCAAAGGGTTAAAAAATCTAAGTTCAAAGGAGTACATACAAAATGGAATTGTTATGGCCTTAGCATTGGGTTGCAACTCGCAGCTTTGAGCTCCTCTTCACCCGTGCTTGAAAGAGGATCAAAAACAGTTGTCTAAGAAAGTGCTTAGCTGTGCCTGTGCAGATGCCAACTCGCCTGTAAGGGGGGGGCGGTATGGCATATATTCCGCTACAGAAGGGGTCATCCTCCTTCACACTCCACAGAGCACAGAGACATGGATTTGACCGGCAGCATAGAACAGCTGGAGTCCACATGGGCTCTTGTCAGAGAAGCAATTTCAGCTCATTGCCAGTTACATATGTGGCATAGGCTGGACGGCAAGAATATTTAGGGAAGATTACTTGAAGAACATATAGTCCAGCTACACTCACTGGGAGATTAAAATGGAGAATAGCAAAAAAAGGAGCTGGGTACCTGTCTGAGTCATATTGGTAGCCCCAAATCATTGCTTTCCCTAACTGTCTCTCAGTCCAGGCTGATGGTTGGTATTACATCTGCCGAAAAGATGTTATTAAAGATGTTGTTGATTAGAGCTGCGGTTCCCAACTCCCGAGCTGAGGACCAGTTAGGAACCAGGCTGCAGAGCTCTGCTGCCCCCCCTTCAGCTCTCCAACCCCCAATCCATGGAAAAATTGTCTTCCATGAAACTTAGGAACCCAGCAGTGGGCAGGGTACACAGGTGGTGAGCGCATCGCTTGCATCACCTCCTGAGCGCTGCTTCTCCCACGTCCCCCCCCGCCCCGACCCCCAGTCTGTGGAAAGATTGTCTTCCATGGGATCAGTCCCTGGTGCCAAAAAGGTTGGGGACCACTGGATAAGAGAATACTCTTCATTATGACTACTACACCCCACTCCCAAGGAAAAATTCTTATCTGGTCCTAGTATCAAAAATCATGTTTCTCCTAAGCAACTGATTGCTTTTTAGATTATAATCATAGTGCAATATAAAACCAAGCAGGTTTCCTTTTGAGTTGGCTGCTAGGAAGCTCAGAATTAAATGTGTGTGATCCTTCCACCTGTTTGCCTCAAGGTCAACATGGTATGCATCCTTGGTTGCAGCCCTCTTCTGCTTCTTCCTGTGCTCTGCTTGATTAGCAACTAACTTGTATGATTGTCTGGCCTTGGCTCCATCCATTAAGTCACTGAAACCCTTTAAATATATTATAAGATTGTTTTCTGTTCATGGATATGGATTTCACCAGGATTTGTTCAAGATCAGCTTGTTGGGCAGAAGCAAACCAGCAGGCGGGTAAAGGCAGGCAGTTGTGTTGAAGGGAACCAGTGGCAAACTGAGCCTTTCACCAAGGCCTGGGGAGATGTCCCTCCACTCACCTCTATTGGGAGCAATTAACCACCCAGTATAGAACTCTTCCAGATCTGCCAGAGTCTACAGGGTTTGGTAGCTCTTCTAAGTGGGAAGTTCAGCCCCTCTGGGATGGTTTCTACTCCCTTCCCCCATGGTGCCATTTTGTTCCAGGCTCAGGGACATTAAACCAACCTCCTCACTCCCCTCTCTCCAACTAAGAAGTTATCTGATCTGACTTCTAGTGTCTTAGGGCCCTACCCTCCTGGAAGTTACATGGTGGAGATAGATTAATTATTAATGAACAAGTCACTGTCAATTAAAGGTTAATCAGTTGGTGTACAAGCTCTCTTGATAGCACCACCTATCCCAGGGACAACAACTTTAGGGATTGTGGCTATCAGGTAAAAGGGCTCCACAAAGCACACCACAGAAGCCAGTAGCTAGCAATTCTGCCTGAACACAAAGCTGGGCCTAAAAATGTACAAACCTGAATCTGACTAAAAGTAAAAGATACCTCTGGTCAATGCTGCTCATAGGAAATTGTAGACTTTAAGTAAAACACAAATGCATTGCTAAACACTTAAGATTCAGGCATCTTATTGTGTATAAAACATACCTGGATTAAAAAGAAAAAAGGGTACATTCATGCTCATAGCAGCATCATTCACAATAGCCAAGAGGTAGAAGCAATCCAAGTGTCCATCCACTGATGAATGGATAAGCAAAATGTATATGCATGTATACAATGAAATATTATTCAGCCTTAAAAGTAAATTCTGATACCTGCTCAACATCAGTGAACTTTGAGGAAATTATGCTAAGTGAAATAAAACAGTCACGAGAGAACAAACACCATATGATTCCATGTATATGAGGTGCCTAGAATAGTCAAGGCAGAAAATGGTTGTCAGGGCTGGGGTTGGGGGAATGGGGAGTTGTTTAGTGGGTACAGAGTTTCAGTTTTACACGATGAAAAGAGCTCTGGAGATTGGTTATACAACAACGTGAATGTATTTAACACTTCTGAACTGTACACTTAAAAAATGGTTAAGATGAAAAATTTCATGTGTATTTTACCACAATTTTAGGGAAAAAAAGATCTCAAATGCATATCCCTGATCCCATTAAACCAGGAATGACAAGTTTTCTTTCTCTTGTCAACTCTAATCAATTATTAATGGCTACCTAAAATACCATCTTGGGAGGGATTTGGTGGCTGCGACTCAGATTACCCAGAGTGCTGTGATTGATTACACATGTCTGCTATGGGCCCAGGGGGCACGTGGGAGAAAGTGGAGGGATGGGGAGGCGAGGCCCATACACCACCTGTTCATTGATCCTGAAACATTCCTATTGAGGGCGGGAACCTAGAAACATTTAATGGGATGCAAACATCCCCTGAAACAATGAGACTTATTCATAGCAAAGCAAAACAACACCTGCACAATGTACTTACAGGTTTTCAGGATTGTTCGCATTGCATACTTCAGCATGGCCATTGCAAACACACCGCCCACCGATGCTGACATCCTTTATGCTATAATAATACTGTACAATAGAGAGCAGAACTTGTCAGTTTTACCAAACAGCAGCGAAGACTTCCTTTTACTGATCTTCAACCCACATCTCTGTTGACTCTGCTACCCTTTTAAAACTCTGTACTTCTGAGCCACTTTTCCTTGCCTACCTCCACACAAAAGGGGGCCACATTTGGATGTCACTTGTCTTACAAAATAAATGCATCATTCAATCAAATTTAATAACATACTGCTGAATTTGTCCATTTTTTAAAAATCACACACTTTTAAGTTCATGGAGGGAAATTGCCTTAGAAAAGAATCATACCCTACAGTCTATTGGAAGGGATTAACCATTTCCAGGTTTATTTTTTTATGTAAATAAAAATAATTTTTACATGATGTAATTAAAATGGACTTCATACATTGAACATATTTATTTACCAAAAATAAATTTTTATACCAAAATTTTGCACCTGCTATGTGTAAAAATACTGTCCCAGCCTCCAGGAAGGGAGAGAATATTTACAAAGATGGATCAGATACAGCCCCGAGACTGGCAGAGGCCCCCAGAAGTTGGTGCAACATGGCTAGCACAGGGTTAAAAGGGCTAAAGTCAGAGGTCCGAGCTCCAGAAAGGCCAGATAGAATCAGCTTCAGACACAGCTGAGGACCAGCCCCTAAACCAGGCCACAAATATGTGCAGGCCGTCTCATTGCCAAGGCACCTCTCCAGTATGTTGGAAGCCTCTCCTCTAGTGACAATAGGCAGACCCGTCTGCCAGCTCCCTTCCTTCTCAGACTTGGCAGGAGGCTGCACAGGACTTGGTGAGGAATGCAGGGGTTGTAGAACAATCTTTCTACTGAGGCCATGTGGCCAGTGAGAGGAATACCTGTCAGCGAGAAAGTCTTTGAATTCACAAGGACAAGAGAGTTTTTGTATTTTTTTTGTTCTTCTTGTTGAGTGTTGTCACCTTAAAGAGCCATATTCATCTGATGCTGGGGTTCTGTTCTCTAAGTGTCAACTCTGCCTGGCGACATCTTGCTTAATCTGAAGGTATTAGCAGCCCTTCTTGTTCATATTATATAAAGTCAGTATTACCGTGACAAGTTAACATTCAGAGGCTTTCCTGCTGACCACTATAGATGTTTCTCTCCACATGTGTTAAGGGCAGCAGCAGCAAGAGAGAAGCCCTCAATCAGCCTTCACCCAGCAGCCCATGTCATCTGTGTGGTGGGACAACTGGTGTCATATTCCTCCATGAAAGAAGCAACTTAGGTTTGGGGGGTCAAGATTATACTGAGGTGCACTCCACAAAAATACTACCTAATGGAGGCTGGCCATGGTAGCTCATGCCTGTAATCCCAGCACTTTGGGAGGCGCCAAGGTGTGAGGATTGCTTGAGTCCAGAAGTTCGAGACCAGCCTGGACAACATAGTGAGACCCCCGCCTCTACAAAAAAATTTTTTTTTAATTTCTGGGCGTGGTGGTGCGTGCCTATAGTCCCAGCTATTCAGGGCGCTAAGGCAGGAGGATCACTTGAGCCCAGTAGTTTGGGGTTGCAGTGAGCTATGATCGTGCCACTGCACTCCAGCCTGGGCAATAGAGTGAGACCATATCTCAAAAAAAAAAAAAATTACCTAATGAACATGCTTATGTTCACCTAAGTGAAAAGTAATAAACATAGATATGGGAGCAAATCCTGCAATCCCAAAAAGACAATTTAAGGAGAAAAATGGTAAGGTACGTTAGTGGTAAGGCCCAAGGGCAGTTGGAGGAATTGAAACACAGCCCAGCTGTGGTTTATCAGAAAGCCCAGCTCTCCCTTGTAAATATCTATCCACAGATTCAACATAGTCCCCACCTACACAGCAGCTCAGAGAGAGCTGAGGGGGCAGAAAATACAGAAGATGGGTCCCTATACCGAAGAAGCCTTGGCTTTCTGGGAAATGCTCAAAACTATAGCAATATTTGTATTTCTCTCTCCCTTCCTTTCCCCGCTCTCTTATTACCTACATAAAAAGCCAAACTCTCCAAGGTGTGCTGGGCATCTTCCATGCCCCCCTCCAGGTCTACTCTCCACCTTTCTCCATGCTGCCCTTTGCCTTGGGGCTGAACTTTCTGGCTGCAGCAAACAGGCTCTCTTGCTGCCTGGCTTCCTGCTGGGTCTGGCCAATGGAAGGCACCAGCAGGAGATCAGAGGGTAGAAAAAGCATGAGCTCAGGGTATTTATTCTGCGGGCTCCCTCCGTGCCCAGGAGACAAGGTACTGCCCTGACACCGAGAGATGCTCCAGGTGTATATCCAACACGGCAGAGAGTATTAGCACTCACCAATATCTCTGTTTTCCTTTATTTTGGCTAGATTACATCACCCAGCCTCCTTGCACCTAGGTGGAGCTATAACATGGCAGTTCTTGCCCAAGGAAGTAACCTCTGTGGTAAGAAGTGAGTGGGTCTTCTCTACACAGTCTCTTCCCTCATCTGCTGACCAGAGGTGGGGGGTCCTGCATGACAGCTGTGCCTCTAGATAGAAAAAGCCTGGTTCCCCGAATGACTGCGTGGAGCTGACCCCACCTGCTGATCCACACTGAACTGGGATAAAAACAAGAAACAAACCTATGCTTTGTTAAGCCTCTGAGATTTGGGGATTGTTAGTTATGATATTAGCCCATCCAGACTAATACCAGGCTGACTATAATCTTTTCCGTTTCATCTTCTGTGAATATAATGATTTTTTTCAAACAGCCAAACCCCTAATTATACCTAGTATTTCAGACAAGAATAACCCATGTCTACACCATTACTGGCTATCAAGGTAACTCAAAGGTGTTCACAGCAATTAATTTGATAACAAAAAAACAAATTCTGCCGACTGGGCACTTACAAAACGCTACTCACCCGCCGAGTAACAGTTGGATCTCTCTGTGCTTTGGAGATGAGATGTCCAAGAAGGGTGTTGGTTCGGAGAAAACGCAAGCGGATGTTTGTTGCCATGGTAAAGTCCCTCAGGGTGTGAGAGAAAGTAAAATTTTTGGCACCTGGACGACCATTTATCAATGACACCACAACCTAAAATAACCACACACACATAAAGGGGGGAAAAGGTCCTTTTATTAACATTTAGGAGCAAGGATGTAAAAATAACTCACATACCCCAAAGCACTTGGTTTCTTTGAGCCATTAGACGTTGGTAGGTGGTCTTGGATCTTGTTAATGTGTAAAAACATTGCTATCTAGTCCCCATGTGAAATGGCAAAAAAAATTATAAGAAAAAATAAAAATAAAAAGATCGCTACTTCCATCTTCCCTCTCCCTTTCTGATCCCAAGTTCTGGCAACAATGTCTTTGAAACCTGGGCTCTCGGGATATGTTATCATTTCATTTTCAAAACCTTTGTTCTATCAGTGTAGTTGTGGGGCTGTCTCACTATAAAATAATGAAAATATAATGTTAAAATTTACAAATATAAGGAAACAATTTTGTCAAGCTACATCAAAGAAACAAAGCTAAAGGAACCCAAAAATCTACATGAAGTTGAAAAAAGGAAATCTCCGGATATAAAGTTGACAGCGATGGGGACCAAAATAAAACAAAAAAATCTATACAAAACCTAGGTTTTGTTTCAAAGCCTGTGGTGACAAAGTCCCAGTCTCAACCCAGTTGTTGGAAGACACTGGACATCGCTACTGAAGAGAGATATCTCTACTTAAAGAGAGGGAGGCCGATACCTTTGATGGAAGTTCATTTGAAACTCAGTTCATATTCATTATGACCTCACGATTTCCATGGCATTCTTCTCTGATTTTTTTCACCTGTGTTTGCCCATCTCCCCTAACAATAGCCAGGCTAGCTTCACAAGGGCCAAATGTAGCCCCAAAGGGACAGCAATTATTTTTCTCCCTTGACATTTGATGCCAATTCTGCCAAAAGGGACCAGGGATTAACGCTTCCACCCACCCTCCTCCCCTCACTCTTACTGGGAATAAAGTGTGGGGAGGCGGGAGAGGTCTTCGCTGCAGCTACCAGCGGCCCACTTTCTAAATGTACCACCAGAAAGGAGAGTTAGGGGCTGTGGGCCTTGGATCCCGAGTCCTGACTTCCTGGGGGGAATTTAAGACCCCAAACAGGATTTCTAACCCAACTCATTTGGGGAGCCCTTGATGTGATTCCTTTACCGTTTAGTCCCAAGTGCTGGTTTCCATCTTGATCTGTGTCAGATCTCCTTGAAAGTGCAAGTTTCATACTTACAAGAAATTTGATATCCTCATGTTCATTTCTGAGTCTTTCACAGCCTCCCAAAACTACTTACCTCACCATTTTCCAAAGGTACAATACGAGAATATTCAGTAACACAAAGTACATCATCATCCGCGGTGATAGCCATATTTGCTTCCTTCCCAAATTGTTCCAGACAGTCTACTTTAGAATCTAGAAAGGAAACATTTTAATATTTTAAAATATTATCATTTTGTTGTAAATCTCTTAAGACACCTTATGTTTTTTAAGAAAATACAAGTAAAGAGAAAGAACAGAGAAGCATTTAAGACTTTAAGACAAAAGCTGAGAGTGGAAGTTTTAATTCATGAAAGAAAACACAAAGCCATTTTAGGCCACTTGACTTTCAGTGACAACTTTTGGAGATGTGGGGCTAACTCCTCACTCCCAGGTAGGCAAGTTCACCCTCTAAGGTGACCTCATGGAAAATCCAATGCCTTTGTAGGCAAAATTCCTGTCCACCTCCATTCATCATAGGGTTCAGAGACACTGACATTCTTCATTTGTGAAGGCAACAGGGTCAAGGTAAGTAATGAATAATGCAGGATACATAAAGATGGAACTTAGTTTCCAATTCTACATAAAAGGAAAAGAACTAGAGCTATGCCCAGTTATAGGTATACCCAAATAGTGCCAAGAACTGTTATCATAAAAGGAGTTCCAACGTCACTTCTCCATGGGGTATCCTTGGAATTATTGAACACGTGCTTGAGAAATGGGGATGGTCTGAGAATAAGTTAGGAGGTTAAAACTGACCAGTTCCTAAGTAGTCATCCTGAGAGACTAATTTTCGAATTACTTAGTCTTGATCTGTTGCAGATAATTAAAGCCACTCACAACATGGTAAGCAAGATTACTTACGAGCAAAATATTGCCATGGTGAGTAGGTGCTTCCAAAGTCTACAGATCTTTCCAAGACCCAAAGATCAGGGCGAGGAGAATTTGCAAATTTGATTAAAACATAGGCCACATGGAAGAGCTGATAAAGCAAAAGAGATATAGTTAGTTATTAAAGTCACCTCGTAGAAGTCCACAGCTTTGACCACCTCTATACGCAGCTAATTCCCAAGGCAACACATCCAGCCACAACTTCTCTCCCAAGATCCAGATGCTTATGTCTCACTGACTATTAGACATCTATACCTACGGGCAGCCTCTCAAGCTCATCATGTTCAAAACCAAAATCATCAGGCCGGGCGTGGTGGCTCACGCCTGTAATCCTAGCACTCTGGGAGGCCGAGGCTGGCGGATTGTTTGAGCTCAGGAGTTCGAGACCAGCCTGAGCAAGTGCGAGACCCCTGTCTCTACCAAAAATAGAAAGAAATTAATTGGACAGCTAAAAATATATAGAAAAAATTAGCCGGGCATGGTGGCGCATGCCTGTAGTCCCAGCTACTCGGGAGGCTGAGGCAGGAGGATCGCTTGAGCCCAGGAGTCTGAGGTTGCTGTGAGCTAGGATGACGCCACGGCACTCTAGCCTGGGCAACACAGTGAGACTCTGTCTCAAAAAAAAAAAAAAAATATCTGGCTTGATAGAACACAGCTGGATTCTCAAATCTGCTTCTGCATTCAATCTGCTGTGACATGTTGTTTTGGTGGAATTATTAGAAGATTTGGCCTCACATAGGTCTATAATGGGAAAAAGGAGGACCTCAAGGCTTGCAGACCTCCTGGAAGGTCTTGGGAACTCCCACAAGTTTTCACCCATACTTTGAGAACTGCATTTCTCAGTCATAGAGATGTAGCCTTTGCTCAAAGAAGCCCCTTTGCTTATCTCTGAGGAAGGAAGAATTGTCACATCAATTACTAAAAACCCTAAGTTCAGCCAGCTCTGTGCCAAACACCTGCTGTTTAATCTTTAAAAAAAGTGCTTACCGGGGCCCAGATTAATACTCCCAGGTTGTCTACCAACACTTGTAAAATTGATACAACCTCATAAAGAAAAACTAATTAGGAATTAATTATAAGGTACTCTGAAAACTATAAAGCAATACTTTACAACTAGATGTAATAATTTCCAAAACACACATAGCATTATTATGTAGTGAAGGAATTCATAGGAAACCCTAGAACCCCTGTTCGGAAAATTGAAGAAAAATGTATTTCCCTTAAAACTGTTGCACAACAACATGAGACCACTTTTTGAATGCAGTAATCATTCAAAGCATTCTTAACCTCTTCCACCAAACTCCCACAATCATAGCATACACAAGCCCCCCAAAAACTACTTACCTAGTACTTTATGACTTCATGGTTACTGTCTTCCAGGTACCACATGAAGCATGTCACAAGCATTCTCTCATTTAGGCCTCACAATAAAAAGTGGAGTTTTATTAACCCCACTTTACAGATGAGGAAAGTGTGGGTAAGAGAGGTTAAGTAACAAGTCAATACCTTGCAGGTATAAAAATCCTGAGCTTATGTGTATTCTACTCACTGAGCATTAGCTATGCCTCAGGACCTAATAGGTACTCAATATTTCACCTGCTTCATCCTAGGGGAAATAAATGGTCAGAGAAGTTCCAAACATCATTATTTCCAAATATGCTAAAATTCCATTCTAGAGAACCTGGGGTGGAAAGATAAGTTATAATATATCTCAAGTGTTATTTGAGTGCATTGGTTTTCCAAAGTTGTACTCTCTGCTACTGAAAATCCATATTAACCAAGTAGCCTCAGTGGCTCAGAAGAGAGCCTCTTTGTTTAGTTTCATCTTATTCCTGTGTAAGGAATGAGATGCATCATGACAGTCAGCAGCAGGTGGAGTCACGTCACAGTGTTAGTGTGCCCCTCTGGCCTAATTTAATAAGCCCACTGAGCCTACCAACTCGGCTTCCAGCACCAATCAGATAGAACACTCCACTTTTAATGTTTCCCTTCCATTTTTGTCCCATTTTTGTTTCTGAGGTTCGTTCCCCAATGTATGTTTATGTGCTCTGAATATTTAGAGAGATTTGCATTTCTTTTTTTCTGATTCCATTTACACTGAGAGACTGTATTTCTTATTTATCACCTCTGCCGTGTAACCTGCCATCCATTCTTGCAAGTGCTCCAGCTCTGCAGCCAATCTCCTCTGAGACTTGCAGATTCAAAGTGTCGCTGTGAGGCAGGGGGAGTGGTCTCCAAGGTATGTTCACAGCCCAGTTCAGTCATGTTAAACCAACAAGTAGGGAGATCATTTAAAAGCATAAGCTTTTTCAATGGCTTCTTCTGTTAAACTCCTTTTTTATTATTATTATTATTCCAGGGTATTGTGAGGGTACAAACATTATAGTTACACTTTATGTCTTTGCCTCACCCAAGTGCGGGTTAAAGGCATACCCTTCCCTCCCTTTAGTGCTCC